TCGCGACCGTTCCAACAAACTCTCTTCGTCCACCCATTTCTCACTCCACCAACCCTTTCCCACCGAGTTTTCTCTTGCAGTATTTCATCTCACTTTTTCGTTACTTCCGCTTATCCACATGCGTTCTCGTATATATTAAATTACGTTCACATATTTCAACAAGAAATTTAACATAACACAAAAAGTCTAATTACAGCAATGAAAGGTTTCAAGAATAACTAATTTTTCAAATGATACCAATTTATTTCTTTCACAATAAAATGAGCAGAAGGGAATGCTCCTTAATATTCGTTTTGTGTATTTACACAAACGTTTGTGTAAAAAGGATTGCATTCTATTTTCTGTCGATAGATTTCTTTTCCCAGCGGAGAAAGATTTTTAAATGTGTAGATTTAAAAAAGTTCTCATCGTCGGAATGGAGAAAATTCCGCACTTTTCGCGGGCCATATACGTGAGAGCCTGAGTCAGCAGGAGCAAGTTCCGAGGACATTTGAATTTATTTGAGGATAGCGTCGCCAACGGTATGGTCGCAGAAAATAACATGAAAAACGAATCGAGCGCGGTGGAGACCGACTTCTTCATTTCTCGTCACAGAGAATAGGAAAATGATTTTTTTATTTCTCGTCATAAAACGTGACTGCAGAGTTTATCTTCTTAAGTTTGCACACTTGATTTAATTAAAGCATCCAATATAATATAATCTATTTTCTTCGAATGGCGATCTGAGTCACAATCGTCGATTCTCATAATTGCGAAGAGACTCTACTTGCCAACTAGTACTATAGAATGAGTGAGAAATGAGCAATTCATCTTACAACTGGAGAATAATGTGATATTAAAGTAAGTGAAAAGAGTGATAACATTCTTTTTCTTTACGAAACATCGTTTTCGAGAAAGTCGAATTAAAAATTTGTCTAGTATATGTTATCTAGCGATATAACTTACTATATTTATTATTTCTAATAATTATAATCATATCCTTGTGTTAATCATATTATTTAATTATAAGTAAGTTATATAAATTATCTGATACTGGTAATTGTTCTAATATGAGATTACATTCCATCCACCAAATTCTCTGAATTACTTAATAAAAAACAAGTATAAACAAATTTAGTACATAATTATTTTTGATAATGTTTGTTATTTTGTAAAATGTTCATATAGTAGTATGATTGAAGGATTAGAAGATATATCGGTTTCTACAAGTTATTTATTACGTTAAAAATTTATTTATTACGTTAAAAATTGCTGATGCGAAAGAAGAAAAAGTAACATTCAACTGATGCTTGCGCTCTCTTTACATTATTGGTTACCTTGATAATTGGAAAATTCTTCTCTGTATATTTACTTATAGCAGAAATATCGAAATTGTCGAAAAAGTTTTTCATATTAGAAGTTTTTTATTTGCAACTCATTATCATTATTAATAAAATTGAGAGGAAATTATTTTAGAATTACAATTAAATAATTAATAATTATAATCATATCCTTTTTCTTTCTTTCTTTTTCGAAATAATAAAGTCAACTTTTGTAAATTGTGATAAAAGTAAATTCGATAGATTTAATAAAACAAAACAAAGTATCGTTATTAGAGAATTATTCTAGAAAGATAACTGTTTTTATTTTAAAGAACAAAAAATTACTTCAATTTAATTGTAATCGTGATCGATTTATTAACGGATTAACATTATGACACAGTTTGCGCATTTATGGATAATTTTCATAAAATTCAACCAATATATTTACACCTACGAATCACATGGAACAAAATTTAATCGATTATTTATATCGTAATGATTGATCGTGGCAACATTCAGCAACTATGTTTGCTGAAAAAAACGTACTTATATTTGCGCCCATTACAGCTCGAGCCATATCTCCAGTGTGCGTTTTTGTAATAAGATTTATTGGGCTGTAGGCAGTGCCGTGGATGTATCTCGCCCGGTCTGCTTTTGGTTAATAACATAGCAGGTCGGGATGGAGCGGCAGATACAAATTGCGAGCGGTGCCGGCGAGCGAACGCGCGAACTCGCGCGCGAACAATGGAGGGAACGATGCCGCGTCGGCGATTGTATGTCGGGCGCTTTGGAAAAATGTAAACGCAGAACATTTTGCCGGGCTTGGGGAGTTCAAATGATATAGCAACGGACTGACGTTGACAAGTTTGCAATCGATAATCCTATAAATCCGCCGTCTCCACCTCCTCGTCATTCAAGCGGAAATAAATCGATGCATTGCTGCCACGCTCCAGTCTTCGCTAATCATCGTTTGCTTTCCCTTCTCTGAAACTTTAGTCGGAAAGATTTTTGGGATGCAAAATGTTTTTGAAATCCTGATCGCTGTATGCTTTCACTTTTTATCATCGAATAAAATCGGATCAAATTTAATAAAAAAAAATACCTCCCTCAAAAAGAATTTCTAATAACGAGACAACAAATTTCATATTTGATCTTATCGCGATTTTTTATGCAATATAAAAATAAAATGTTATATTATTAAATGTTATATTATATTATATAATTAAAATTAAATCGATATTTTCTATTCTTCTCCTTCAAATTAAATAACATTGATTTATTTGTCTTGAGACAAGAGTAATACAAATTTAAATAATATAAATTTATATATTCTTGCGTTTAGAATAAATCTTTATTTGATAGTCTAATGCAAAATGCTGATGCTAGTTTTGGCGCAAAACAGATTGTGTTCGATTATTTTATTTTAGATTTAAGAATTTTTCATTTTTAAGAATAAAATATTCTTCTTCCAACAAATATAATTATCGCTATATCGATTCTATTTTAGTATTAGAATCAGAAATCTTTTCTGTAGGTGTACTTTCATTTGACAGAGAGAGGTTTATAATTATATATGAATATTCTTTCATCAGCCATTCACTATAATGCAAGTATTCGCTTGTGTTCTTGCGCGAAAGACATGAAATCCGGGGGCGATTGATGAGAGCTTAATTAAGGTAACAACCACGCGAGTCATCGTCTAATTAATACACGGTTCTTTTAGATCGATTTTTATCTGAAGGTTACTGGTGACAAAAAGCCGACGAATAGCGACGCGGGATCCTCGATTCTTATCACCGGATGGTTATTAAGTCATTCCGTGTCGGCGTGCGGAAGAGGAGCATCCGCGAGAAAAGCTGTAACGGGGATTACGAGCTTGATACCAGTACCGCTCCGTCTTAATAGCTTCATTCGATCGCGAAGGACCCAAGGGGTAATTGATGGCTCTTCATTGTGTCCTGCCGCGAGAGAAGCGCCCGGCGAGCGCGGCAATATAAGGGCCAACCGTCCCTCTCTTTGGCTGGGGAAATTACCCTCTTGTGCGTTATTAATGGTTTCGTAAGCGCCATTCTGGTCAATAAGTAAGCGGCAAGCAAAATTCTTGTCACGTACGGTGTTGGGTGTATTATGCTTCTTTTATACATGTACGTAGTTTCGACAACGCCATCGGCGAATAATAAGCAATTAAATGTCTCGATATTTCTCGTGCGCGAGATACCGTTCATTTTCCTGAGTTTTGACAGCAGCAAATATACTTGATGTATTAGACTTTTCTAGTTTTTCTAGTTTTTACAAATGTTTTATTTATTCCGTTGGAAAATTTGTATTTAATTTAATATATTTTACGTGTCTCAAACGGTCCACTCAAATGTGTTAATTTAACATAAGATGAATATGTTAAAAAGTAACACAAATATCATTTAAGAAGATAAACATAAAAAAGTAATACTGATACAATTTGTAAATTAAATTAACGTATTAACGTGGAAATATATTTTTTTAAAGTAAAATTGACATTATGCTATGTTAAATTGATACATTTTAAATTATTTATTCAGCTTAGAATTTACTTTTTAAGATACACTATTTTTGTATTATTTGTTTACTTACTCATAAATTGTTATTTTGTTATTTAGAAATGTTGAATATAAATTTAAATTACACAAACTGTTTAAATAAGAGTCACATTATGTTCAATTAACACTCGAATATGATAAAAAATTCAACTCAATGTTAACAAATGTTAACAAGGACTTGAGTGGATTGACTTGAATGGATGGACTTCCAACACAAGTACGAAATGTTTTTTTATTGTGTAGACGTGAAATGTTATTTTGTCTTTATTAAATCAGTATTTCAGTTCAATTCGACATAATATTACAATGATTCTCTTCGACGTAATACAGCGATCACCTATATGGTACGATAGAAGGGTGAATTGAGGTTCAATGTCCTCCTTTGACAAAGAAATATTCTGCACGTCTCTGTGTCTCTCCCTCGCGAAAGCTCGTAAAGATCGACGCGATTTTCGCTCGCAGCAGGATTTTATCACAGTTTCTACACCGATCATCCGTTTTTCCCAACAGGCGTCGTACCTCTCGTCGCCACCCTTCGGACAGACAAAGACAAAGCACCACGACATAAATAATTTATCTCGGAGGTGGTACCGCGGCGTGACGCAACGCGGCGACGTCGACGGTGTGCGTTGCATTAAATATGAAATCCAATATAAACTTTCGAGCGATATAAACTCAGACCACCTGACCGCTATTATGTCGCGTCTTCTCTCGCAACCTTGTAATCCTTTAATCATTTCCCGGTTATTTTTGTAACATTAAGTGGTTCATTAAAATATATTGATCTAAACTTCTAGAGAGAGAGAGAGAGAGAGAGAGAGAGAGAGAGAGAGAGAGAGAGAGAGAGAGAGAGAG